CCAACCCCCCCCCCCCCAGCCGCTGGCTTCTGGGGGTGCCTTTGTACCCCCCACAACTGCCCCCCAGCACCCCATAGGCCTGGGGCGTGCCTACAAGGGGCTCATGCGAGGTCCCCTCCTCTGTGGGGGGGTTTGCCAGGGCTGAAGGCTTTGGTCGCCCACGACCATGAGAGCCCCGCGGGGTTGGGGCAGGGGGCCAGCGGGGCGGCCGGCAGTGCTGACGGGGCTGTGCCGTGTCCTTCCAGCACGGGGAGCAGCGACCCGTACTGCATTGTGAAGATCGACGATGAGGCCATCATCAGGTGAGCGGCTCCGTGTCCCTGGCTGGTCCCCAGACCTGCCAGCACACCTGGCTCCTGGCGGGTTCCTCCATCTTCACTGCTGCAGGCACAATTATTATTATTATTATTGCTCCCTGCTTTGGGCTGAGCTGCTCCTCCAGACACAGACCGCGATGTCTAACAGCTCATGGCCGCCCCCCACCCTGTAAGCCACCCCCTATGTCTTGCCAGCCCGGAGCCACAAGACAGGACAGGGACCCATCCCCTGCCCCAGCTGAGGGTTCAGAACTGTGGGTGCTGCCCCCCGCCACGTGTCACCGAAAGCTGGGAAGCTCACAGGGCTGGGGAGGTGGGGAGTGCCCCGTCCAGGGAGCCCCGTCCCCGCCGTCACCGGTGCCGTCTGCCCCGCAGGACTGCCACGGTATGGAAGACGCTGTCCCCGTTCTGGGGGGAGGAATACGAGGTGCACCTCCAGCCCACCTTTCACAGCGTCTCCATCTACGTCATGGATGAGGATGCGCTCAGGTATGGGCAGGTCGGCTGCGGGGTGGTGGGGGCTCAGCACGGGGACTCGGAGGTTGGTGGTTTTGGCTGCCTGCATGCTCAACCCCATTGTAGACACCAGAGAATCCACACCTGGTCGTGCTGGCTTGGGCTTTGGGACACAAACGGATGAAGTTATTTCCCGAGGTTATTTTCCAGCTGGCAGCAAAGGGTGGCTGACGTCCTCCACAGGGACAGACACATCGTGGTGGCCCCAGCTCAGTACACCCGGGCGCCCTTTTGCCCCCCCAGAAACGCGCGGCAGGGGCTGTCCTGCCTGGGGGCCGGCGGGGCGGACAGGCTCCGATCCCACACCGTG